ACACGTTTCTTATAGCCAAGCCTACGACTTTGTTGAAAAGAAATTCTGTATATCAGCAGTGTAGCGAATGAAAATACAGTGTTTGTGAAGAGTCAAAATTGAGATGTTAACTCAGCTAGATACAATTTTTGCAATTCACACAAATCAGGGGTATATATGATTTGAGGTTTACACAGCTTTGAGTATGAAGATTTCTGTCTTCTGTGTTGTTGCGCCGTGTAGTCTGGCCGATGTTTACCAACGTTTCAGAGGTCATACTGCCTCCGTCATCAGAGTATGAAGATTTCTGTCTTCTGGGTTGTTGCGCTGTGTAGTCTGGTAGATGTTTACCAACGTTTCAGAGGTCATACTGCCTCCGTCATCAGAGTATGAAGATTTCTGTCTTCTGGGTTGTTGCGCTGTGTAGTCTGGTCGATGTTAACCAATGTTTCAGAGGTCATACTGCCTCCGTCTTCGGGGCGATGACCTCTGAAACGTTGGTAAACATCTACCATACTACACTGCGCAACAACCCAGAAGACAGAAATCTTCAAATCAGGGGTACCCAAACCGAACAATCCCTATATAAAATTTACCTTTGTGTATTTGAAACATTACGTACTTTATATTTAGCTACAAGCTATATGGTCATTTACATAAGCCCTCAATGAAGGACAACCATAAAACAAATTAAACTAATAAAAATGCTTCATAACTGTCTCATAAAGAGTTGTAAAAATTATGTAAAACTTAGGCCTATGTAAAGAATAAATAAGTAAGTTAAAAGTGGCCTTTGAAGGTAATTACATTTAATAAACCCTATACATTATAACCTTTATAAATTAGAATAGCCTTATGTCAAGTTTAACCGAAATGTAACAAATAATTAGAAAGGCATTAGATCCATTACCATGACTTAAACCGAATGAAATTTCTAAGTAATAATATTTTTATATAAAGTCGTATCAAAATATATCGAAGCGTTCAGAATAATATGTGAGACTTAATTTAGACCCTAAATAATGCGCTCGTTATTAGTAAATCAAACTAGAATTGCCCGTGTGAGTTTGTAGATTTAGTACACAGAGTTTAAGTTATGTGCAATACGTATATTGAGCAGTTCTGGTGTTTTTATTGGCGTAAGGTTGGTATGGAAGGATATCTTTTTTTTTTCGTTATGATATATGCATTAATACTCAATATAAAATACTAAATGCACTTTTAAAAGAATGCATTATCCCCAAGCTAGTTTATAAATGACTTATTATTATTTTATATTATAAAGAATTTAATTATTAATAATATATGATGCACCTATTAGATTTTTATTGGTTGCTACATTCGGTCATTTTGGGGTGAAATACTTCCAGACCACAACCGCTTCCTTCCATATCCTTTTCAACTTGTTATTCATTATTCATTCTATAATTCGACACTATATAATCTGAGTCACTGGCAATTTTCTTAAATAAACCACAAATAAATATAATGCAGTCCGTCTTGCGTCGTTCATCAAAAGTTGTTCCCTGAAGTAAAAACCCACAGATAATTTATATAAGCGACTCAGAACTTTTAGAAGATTTTGGTGCCCCTGAAATATAATTCGGCAGAGATAAAACTATTAATTACTTTCTTTTGTTTCTTTAATGTAGAGAAAAAATTCCAATCAGTTTCCAGAAAATGTGTTGAGAAATCTAAATATCACTTTCTCTGTTAAAGTCAGCGCAGTGTGTACAGACAACCTAGATCATTTTTTAAGTACACGCTTGAGTGTGATATTTAATTGGAATATTTCTGCGCCCTCTGTATGAGAATAGACCTGTAAAAATTCCTTATATTTCTCTTAACAGTGTCTGCCAAAGTGTTCGGAGTTTAGAGACTGGGGGATTTTCTCTGCAAACCTTGAACATGATAATGGACCTTGGATGCGATTCGGTTGTCTAAAAGAATGAGGGGGTACAAAGGTCACTGGATGCAGGCCGATATTTGTCAACCTGTCACGCTTAAGGAATGCTCATTTCATTATTACTGCCCGCGGCTGACGAAGTTCAGTTGCTCTAACATTGCAGCAAGTAATTAATTAGGTTGACAGGCGGCTTTGTTTCAAGTGACTTCCAGCAATGAATCAGCAGAGTGCGGGACCACACCTCGTCCAGATTGAAACGTGTAATCTAATCGAGATCAGTTTTTGCGAATCGCTTTCTGCCTCCGCAGAACTGGACTTACTTTTCGCCTTATTTCAGTAACTATAGAAACTGGAGACCTAAAATTTCCACGTTAACACTGAAACCGGAATTAGGGTTGAGAGAATCCTGTAAATAACAGACCTGTGGCGTTTCGTCTGTGTGTTCATCCATACTGCGCTTTCAGATTTGTTCATATCTGTCTGTAATATGAGTATTGTTTCTTTCTATTCATAAATGTGTACATAAATAAAAATAGATAATTATTAAAAATATTAAAAATATATTAAAATTGGCCGTCAATCACAAATAAGATAATTAAAAGTTCCTTATCGAGTACTCGATTTACATGTGGAACATTTACGACATGTTTCGGCTATATATAGCCGTCATCAGGTGTTATATTATAAACTTTTTACTGAATTACTGATTTTTACTGATATTTAATGATGATTTTCAGTTCTCATTTTTCTTATCGTGTTCTCGTCCTCCATATTTTATCTTCATCGGTTGTTGTGTCGCCTGTCACTATTTGTGATTGACGGCCAATTTTAATATATTTTTAATATTTTTAATACTTATAAATCACAATATGACGCATCTACAATATCTTAAAAATAGATAAATCAAACATATCCAGTATTGAGTATATGTCCTAATACAGACATGGATTATTCTAAAAAGGTCAAAACCTAAACGTTATTGTTATAATTAAGTTGAACAATAAATAAAATACAGTGCATAATAATAATTTAATTCAATTAATTTATTTAAGTGCTTGACAACAGCCAAGTGCTGACAACAGTACAGGATAAAATATAATAATAATAAAAGTAAAATATTACAAATACAAAAACAAACAAATAAATGAAACTAAATATATATATGTACCATATTAATAATAATAATTTAATTAATTTATTGCTTAATAATTCATAATGAGCTAAATAATATACCTAAGTATTATAATAATTAAATTAAAATCAGTTAAATTATAAACAGTACATAGATAACATACAAAATAAAATATTAATACTAAATAAAAACAATAAACAATAAAAACAGAAAATCTTACAAAATTAAGAACCCAAAATATGGACAAAAGAGAAACATTTAAATACAATAATTTTCTCAGTTTAACTGTTAATTGCAAGTAAATGGGCTAGATAAAATGCCTAAGCAAAATATACTCCTTGTTATAGATGTCGATGCGCTAATAATAATAATTTTAATGTAATTTTGTTAAAAAGAAATATTTTCTCACTCTCTCTGCAGTCAAACTTATGCTCCCAAGGAATGATGGGGCAGATTGTGGTTTGTAGACATGATAATATGCATTACAGACAAGCAGAGAAGTGCTATGTAGATATTTAATTGAAAACGCAAACTCCAGTAAACCGCACAAAGCACTATAAATCTAGGAACAATAGCCACTCCTCTTCTGCTGAACTACAAAGCCCTGATTGTAAGATTGCACAGAAAGAAAGCAAAGCGCCACATGGCAAACACTCATTCTAGCTTTTACTCACACTTAAGTGGGTTACATTTGTATAGAAACAGAAAGGGACGTGTTTTCCATTCAGGATTAAGTAGGTCTAGTGCGTCGGAAGAAATACATAAAACACACGCTAAAATAACAAACAGAATGAGATAAATACCGAAGATTTTCCTCCACAATAATCAGTAACAATAATCAGCACTTATTACCATGTAATACGCAGAAATTTAGGCACATTGACCATCAGTTAGCGCGAAAATATAAACCACGGAGCAGAATACATTCAAAATTACGAATATATAGGTAGCCATAAGCAATTTGTTAAAATTATCATTTGGCATTTGATTTAAATTGTGAAATATTCAGCAATAAATTAAATAACTAAGCAAAAAACTCCCAGCCAATGAAAGATGTGTATGGAATAACCCAAATAACAGTTACAGTCCTAAGAGAATAAATATTAAATATTAGTGATAATGTACATAATCGTGTCCAGAAGATATTAAGATAGCGTCTTTATATTACATTACAACAGAGAATATTTCAAACGAAATCAATTCAACACATTACACGAAGCTATTTTACATATGGTCCAACGTTGAACATTCCGTTTCAGCTAATTTTATCTTTCTTGTTTTTGTGTTTTTTGCATATTGCGTAGTCTAAGTAGAATGTTTTGTGTTAAAGGTTCTTTTACATCTGTTGCTGTGTGCTCAGTTTATTTATACTGTCACCATAATAACGGCCGAAGTCACAGCCCACATAAATATCACGTCTGTCAAAATTTCTACTAACAATAAAGTAATATATTTCGTATACTAACCATGGAAATTTCTGTCACAAATGTAAAGTCTCCACAAGCTTTTCGCCAGGTGTTGCATAATTTTCAAATATGGCGTAGTGAAAATCCACAAGTTTTAGTCAAACTGAGTTTACAGATTCCAAAACAAACGTGCGATGCGCCCCGACTTCCGATTTCGTCATTGAAGTCTCAATCTTTGCGGAAGCCCCTTCCACGCCAACATTGTGACCCATCTTCTGGATGAGGTCCCTCCACGTGGCCTTCTAGGTCTCAGACTTGACCGCTCTTAAATTTTTTGTCCGGGGGTACACAAAGGTCATTATCGATGGTTAGGATTGGGGCTGACCAGCGTCGCTGAAGAATTATTCCTTGCGAATCAATCACACCGGAGACGCTCATAGCATCTGGCAAAAGACAGAATATCGCTTTGAAGTTTGTAGCGTCACAAAGGTTTGGACTGATCGTTCATAAGTGCCTGTTATTCAGTAGAATATTTCAGTGGAAGTTGATCCCCTAACGACGCTGTCATGTGTTACAGCCTGAAGCCGCCACCGAAGGACGGCGTGACGAAGAGTAACCCCAGTAAGAGACATCGCGAGCGGCTAAACGCAGAGTTGGACACTTTGGCCAGTCTCTTGCCCTTCGAGCAGAATATCTTGTCCAAGTTGGATCGTCTCTCGATTCTCCGGCTATCCGTCAGTTACCTGCGCACTAAGAGCTACTTTCAAGGTAAGAGCATATTTTTCAGTAATTGACATCTTTGATAATAGCAGAAATTGATGATTAATAGAACTTTCGTCTGTTGAAATATATGGTACCTCATATAGGATGGAATTTTTAGTTAAATTTTCGTTGTTTTTTTTTATGTAACTCACTGACATTTTAAATCGACAAAGACAACTTATTCAGAAGACAGTCAGCTTTAGACTCACCGCCGTGGAAACCTCAAATACTACATAACTTATTTGCTTTTATAATAAGCTTATTTGCATAATTTACCCACATTCACGTAGATTCTGCACTTGGAACATTCTGTATAACACCAGTCATTCTAAATCAGGTAAAAACAGCTTTGGGCATACTGATATTTAAATTACAATACTACTTGTAATTTTCTCGAAAGGCTTAAAACAATTTAAATAACAGAATATTATCTTTAAAAATGTATATTGCCTTTACTTACGACAAATATTTACACATTTTTCTCCCTAATAACCAATTAAAACGTGCCCCATTATTTTCTATATTGGACTCAGTTCGGTATTTTAATACTTTTAATAAATAAAAGTAGTTTTATCCTACCAAGAAATTAAACTATATATTAGTAATATATTTATTAAAAAAAACTATATATGTTTATGCGCTTAGTTTGTATCCGTTTGGAATACATTACCCCAATTTTTACGGTATGGGTTTATCTTTATCAGCTGACGTCACAAATAACATTGTGACCCGCTTAAAGTATTTTTTTTTCACAAATGAGAACACTGGCCACTTGCGTACAAACCCAGAAATTTTCTATGGGCTGGATATCATTCTCATCTCCCCAGTTTTATTACGAGCTGGGTGTAGGTATAAGAATATTTAATTCGAAATATGAACAGATATGCGCTGTAATGTGACCTGAATCTACGTACACGCAACGCGCTCATTAATATCACAAAAAGTTCAAATGGGTGGCACAGTTTTGGAGATTAATTTAAATTAAAAGTCTCCGCATAACTTCTTAAATCTAAATATCAAGTATATTGTACCGTTTGCTCAGAGTAACTTAAAGTAGTTCATGTAATTGAGATCTTACTTTGTAAAATAGTTGAGCTGATGGATTTTTCTTTAATTTAAAAAAAAATCACAGATGCAGATTAAACTTAATAGTTTGTATTGAGGTTATTCATATCAAATGCGTCATGCGAGAAGGGTGTATTAACAAAATAAATGATTTAGACATATTTCGTTTGACAAATAAACATTATTCGTGTTCATACATACCAATGTATAGTAACTATTTCTCTATAGAGCACCATCAGAGTTACGCCCTTCTGGCATGACATACAACCCAGTTTTATGTTGTTAGTCTAAGTACCTCCAATTATGCAAATATTTTGATACGCCCTTCTGGCATGATGCCATGAACGTTCTTAACAGAAATATGACTTAGTAAATGAGTATATATCTGCATCATGTGAAAGTTAGTTTGATGTCTAAAGATGGATGTTTTCGGGATTGTTGCGCCGTGTAGTCTGGTAGACGTTCACCGTCGTTTCAGAAATGATGTTGCCTCCATCGTCCTGATGATGGCAGCAGCGATTACCTCCGAAACGTCTGAAAATTGCTACCAGATTACACGGTGCTACAACCCAGAATACAGCCATCTTACCTAGTCTGATGTTTGTATGGTTGTTGCTAGCAATGCCATATTTAAATTAACACGTACCTCCAAAGAAATGTTGAATTTGCGCTTTGTATAGTCTCCTGACTTCATGTTTGCCGTGTTTCGCTGTTTGATCAGAAAATTTCAAGGCAATTAAGTAGCCTATAATTAATTCTTCTCGGGCTACTAGTCGTGTAAGGTGGCGTAATGAAGAAAATACCAAAGTTTCGAGAAATATTTTTGTCCTCGTACTCAGGGTACTGTCAGAATCCTGAGGACGAGAAGAATTTATTACGTCTCTCTTTTGTTCTCCTGTTGCGTAATTTTAGTAAGTTAAATGAAATAGATTCAAAGAGAATAGGCAAAGGGAGAAAAGATGGTGGAAGGAAAATATGAATTAAATAATGCTAGTTGATCGTGCAAAAATATATACGGAAACATCATACCCCGTTGAATTTCAACGGGATTTCTGCACGAGTACTATACAGGTATGCCCACATAAAATACCGCGGTATAACCTCAGTGACTCAAATCAAAAAACACTCAGCAAATGTTCCATTCTGTTAACGGCAGCTTCGCCCTTAAACAGGTCTGGTTATTTTTAATGAGCTGTAAAATTGAAATAATTGCTCGTTTGCCGTTTATGCCTTAATGCTAGAAGTTTCTTCACCGAATTTTTTGTGTTATGTCGTTATTGGAGTGGAAATAGGGATACGAAAGTGCTGATTAACCGTCTGTCACTGCTTGAGCGTGTATTTCAGCGGACAATGATTTTATTCTCTGTGTTGAACGTATAGGATAATTGGTCCATTGCCTTTAGGAATAATAATTAAACAACCACAAAGTTATTCTTTCAAACTCTGCATTCTCGATCAATGTTATCTTTTTCTCAGTTGAATTAGAAGTCTTATAAAAACAGTTATAAATCATAAAGCTATCAAAATTACAATATAATAATTGTTTTTATTTACATTAACCCAACATTTTTCGATCGTCGAAGCGGCCATCATCAGGGATATAATAAATCAGTATTTTGGCGTAAAAACCAAAGTTAATAAGCCTATATAGTACTGTATATTTCTTGTACCATCTTGTCTATTTTAAAATTAAGTGGATATAGAACAGATAAAATTTTATATGTTAGTTATGTCTTGATATTAGAGTAATCTAAAGTGGCATTAAAATTTCAAAAAACAGTCTTTTTTCATTTTTATGCATTATTTCCACAGAGAATATAAAAATTAAAATTAAGTTTGCCTAAATATTTGCAATAAATCCATCCCTTATCTTTTCTTAATTAAATAACATAATATAATTCATGTACCACAGTCTCATTTATGATCTTATACCGATGTTGTGATAACTCTTGAGTTATACAGAGGTACTTAATAAAAGTATTAATATTAAAATTAAGCACATCGGCTGAGGCCTGAATCAGTAACCATAAATGACAGAATTTTATCGATAAATGGCTTCATATTTAAGAAGCAAAAAAGTGGGAAACGGTCTCCTTTAAGCGCGTAGCCTGTAAATAACAGGATCTCTGTTATTTTTACTGCCTTCTCTATCCATTCCTTCAAGCATTTTGATGGATGTTAAAGAGTGGCAATTAGGGCGGTGATGTATCCATGACAACCATAGACGAAAAATGATGAATTTTTTTTACAGTTTTTATGTCTCTGCATATGTTTCTCGTGTTTTAAATTTAATTTAATCCTCCTTATGTAAGGGCTTTGTGTGTGAAATAGCCGTGAATCTACTTTAATATGGGGTATTAATTTCACTACTAAGTATATAATTTGCTTATTAGTATTCAAGGATTCAAATAATATGGTTCTTTTCCAGGATTTTTTATATAAATGGCCCATGGCCGTGGATCGAATTCGGTACTTATTGACCGGGATTCTTCTATCTGAATATAAGCTTCATTAAATAAATCTTATTTTTTACTGTATTATAAAATTATAGTATCTTCTAAAAGTGAAAGCACTACTGAATTATATCCAGACTGAGCGAGGAATTCTTTAAAGTTTGGGAACATGTTTTATGGTGTTTTCCGAACGCATCCGATACGGTGTTGAATAAGTCGATATGAAATCGATTATTATTCACGCATATTAACACAAACATTGTCATTTTAAACATTAAGAAATTTCTAAGCAATAATGCAACTTTGCCTGGGGGAAAAGTCATTCGTTAGTAATTATAGAAATTTTAAGTTCGTTTATACATTTCTTGGTCCTATTTATTTATTAATTGACGTTGTTTGATAGACTACACAGCGTGAAGTGGTAAGATGGTAAACAATGAACTGTGTAAGATGTTAAGCGAAACTGTTATTGCTCTGGTATTTGTTTGAAGTGATTTAAAAATCCACAGAACAGAGTTCTTCTTGACAAGCTGATAACTGCTTATATTGGTTAAGAAATTTCGCACCATTTATATGATAGAATTATAACCGGAATGTGGTGTGATTGTGAGCACAACACTGAAATACGTACTGTGTCATTTGAATTCATTTACAACTCCCACACAATGTTTTTTAGACTCATTTAAACATTCATTTTCCATGCCTAGGTCTCCAAAGTGGTCTCTTTCTCTCAGTTTTCCAGACTAACATATATTATCTATTTCTCCATGCGTGCTCCATGTTCGACCCATCTTATTCATCTTACTTAGGCTGCTCTAATTTTATTTCGTAAGGAGAAAATTTAGTAAGTTTCTATTTATGTATTAAGTTCAATAATTTGTGGTCTCTCTTTATTCTTTCTTAATTCGTAAATATTCTCTTTGGTACTTTATTCTCAAATACATTATTTACTTATGTTGTTGGTGGATTTAATGAATAATAAGAAAGGAATAAATGCATAGAAAATTGTGTTTTGATACCATTGGAAGAGGGTTTGGTAGACCCAAGTGTTGATAGCAGAAAAACATGTTGAAAAGTGTGAAATTCATACGCGGAATATTCGCGATTCTTAGTGACAACAGAAATTAACTTGGCATCAATAAGAACACGTAATTTCCTTATTAGCGAATAAAAATGATTTTGCCGAAGGAATATCTCAGTACGTTGTTTGCGCCAGGACTGCTTGGAACATTTAAAAGCGATGTGTTTACCTCAAGACCTCACAGCTTCTTTCGTGTCTTCAACCTTGTCTGCCCAGCTGGCATCCCTTCCCCAGTTCAGGCAGGTAACGTATCGTGCTGCACTCTAGACTGAACCTCACGTCACAGAATGATGAATCATGGGAATGTCGACAAGCCTGTCTCTCTCTCTCGCTCCTGCAATTCCGCCAAACGACATGTTTTACTTTGAGGACTGTCTGTGGCTTACGAACACTCTCATTAATAAGTA